GGGGGGGGGGGGGGGGGGGGGTCGTTTTCCCATTTCCCAGCCCAAATTTTGACCAAATCCCATTGTCCCAGAGCACAAATCCCATCATCTCAGTGGCTGTCCTGCTCAAATCTTAATCCCATTCCCATTTTCAATTGTTTTTTTTTGCTGATGAACCCCAGTCCCAGTGCATTAAATCCCATTTTCCCACCCAAAAAAAGCAAATCCCAGTTCCCATTTTACCCCTTCAGGACCCTCTGCATGCAGTACACTCGCAAGTGAGGTGGAATAGTTGCGCTTATGAACACAAACGATTAACATCATACTAAATCATACTTTATAATTTGAAGTGTTCATTTTTAAATGACTTAAAAGTCATATACGTTTATGATATGTGAATCGACTCGTAAAATTGAGAATATAAATGTCTTAATATCAATCCCACAACAAACGATAGGCTTAAATCTTTATATATAAATATAAAGGATAAAAGACAAAGTTTAGAAAATTATTTAAAAAACAACTGACAGAATTGTTAATGAGTTTTACAGTTATATCTTTGTCGCGCGTTAGAAGATGCTACTGTACATACAGTACATGCATGTAAATTTTATTTATAAAAACTGGAGGTATGCGATTAAAGCGAAGACATACATATAGAGATCGGAAGAGCTAGTCGGCATTGCAATTGTTTGTGGTTTACAATAACAGAATGATGTGGTACATTCTTGTTTGGCCTTTAATAGGTTGGTAATTGGTTTACCATAATATATACTGTACTGTACTGTATAGTATAATTATGAATTAGTCTCATGTAGAATGTTCAACTTACTGCAACGTCCATTGTGTGCTTTGGATATTCTTCCATGACTTATACAGATAGCAATTTTAAGAGAACATTCGTTTGGATATGTTTTACCATTTGATCCACACACACGAGATAATATCTTTGGGCACTTTCTTAAACATGGCGTTACTAACAAGAAGGAGGAAGGTGTTAAAGCATTTAATATTATCAGAAAACATTATTTCTTGTAAGGACTGTAAAGCTTGTATGCATGTGTTCTACTTATTGGCGAATGTATATACCCCAGACATAATAGTATAATTATAGTCAATCATTTGATAATTATGTCACAAATCTTTATTAATAATTACCTTTTCCCTTGCATGGTCCTTTATGTCTTAATGTTATTTCTTCGTCGTTTTCAAATTCACAATCAGCAAACCGCAAGCTGCATAGATTGGAGTAAGTCTTGCCGTTTGATCCACACACTTGATCATAATTATGTAGACAGAAGGCCGGACACACTTTACTTGTGACTAAACAAAAAATAAAATTCGATCTAATATGTGTGGCTTCGCGTTTAGTCAGTGTTGTAAAACATCCCTGTGTCTATATACAGGGTGTATAAAAAAAACCTGAACAGATTTAAAAGTGCTCTCAATTTCGCAAAACAGTTATTTGTATCCGGTTTTTTATATATATAGCTTCTTTGGGTACTTATAATGTAGAATAATGAGAAAAATTTCTCGAACTCAAATTTTGTGAACCAGGGGGGGTGTCTTTTCCAACAAACTAAAAATGGCTCGCGCACAAAATTTAAAAGCTCCAATCATATTTTGAGTTAATAAATGAAAAATTTGTCAAGATTTTAATTACTGTACAAAATTTCAGACAATTTGGTTTAGTTTAAGCCCCTTAACTATTCACGCAAAGTTACAATTTTCCCGAAAAATCAGCTATTTGCCAACCTCGTACCCAGGGCTAGTCGCGAATTGAAGGCGGCGACGTAGCCCTGGTAAACGCTGGTCACGTGTCAGGCAAATACTCCAAGATTCTTGGAGTATTAGCCTGCGAGCGGGCTTTGTGGAAATAAAGACGGGGGCGACGAAAAGTTCACGAATGGAACTTGAATTGCCGCGGATTATTTATATTCTTTTATTTTTTGTTGTAATCTTTCTTCTTAATATGTTACGTTTATATATTATGTCGAATGTACATCAATCTTCTTTTATATCGCATCATGTAAATCGCCAAGGAGGCGATGTTTCGAATTTCGAAGCAGTGAAAATGGAGCCAATCTCGTACATACTATTTGTGATGATTTCCATCAAGTAAAAAAAGGTACAGTATATATGAATTTGAAAATGTTTAGAAGTATTTCTCTGTTACAAATTATTTAGCAGATTCCCATTATTTGTTACACTGTCTAGCTCTATGAAATATATATTTCGAAGGCTATTTACTGTAATATATTTTATACAGTATGTTAATATAGTTAGCTGAATTTGTATAATTGTAGTTTAAATATTGTCAATATTGAGAAACACATGGCCAGACTATGGCCTATAATACTATACTCGGACCCTCAGTAAAGTTCTACTCTCACATGATTATTATTTACAATATATTGATTTATCGCTGCGAGAAACGTGTTTACACTTCAATACAGTATTATTAATTAAACTACATTTTACAGCAGTATTAACTTCAAATACTTTGTATTTACATTTATACAGTAATGACCTGAAATTATTTAAATGAGCCATTACTGTAATAACAGAGTGGCCAGGTTGACAAAGCTAAAATCTGATGAACCTAACCTGCTAGGATATTTCAATAGTCAAACATCAGTTTCAGCACTCCAGCTGGTCAGGGATTTTTTGGGGAAAAGTTTTAGCACCCCATTGTAAAACCTTTTGTGCCCTTGAGATCTTGCCTAAAAATTGCCTAACTCTGCAGTATGGCATGTAACCATGTTGCCATATTTATTTTCTGACTTCAGGCTTCAATAAATTTCTACTCTAATACCTACTCTAATACCATACAGTATGTATGAACAATAAGAAATGATTTCTTCATCTATTATTGACCCCTTACCTTTCACCCAATTTTAAAATTAAATTTACTGAATGATTTTGAAGTTTTCTAGATTATTGAAAAGAACTTTATGGGTACAAGAAATACTGTAGGGCGAAAACAGTTGAATTAAGCAAGATGCAAGTAACAATGTGAACCAGACCGGGTCACTGGATGGTATAATTTTCAGCACACTGGTGGACATGCAACCTAATACCTGCAACCTGTGTCACATTTATATATATATAGTTTTACACTGTACTGGAAAAATAATGTCAAGGAACTTGTAGAGATTTGGATATTTTTTTAAAATTATTCTCACTTAGATAAAATTATATCAATTTTTAATATCATAAATGAATATATAGTAGCTTTTGATTAAACAAGTTATAATAATATATCAGCAAATAATGACTGGTCTCTCTGAAATCCATATAGAAAGGTTCAAATTTGACTTCCACTACCACTACTTGATCTGGCAGTTGCATCCGATTGTTTGATTGGATAAATGAAACTTATCTGGTTAGAACTTTAATGATAGCAATAGCAGCAGTGGAAGTCAAATCTGATCTCTCTATTATTTTTTGAAGATTTGCTCTACAGCTCTAGTCACGTCAGTTCAGGGTTGCCCATGCAACTTGGTTAGCACAGCTAGCTCTTCATGTTGGAGGTCCAATTCTTAGGATTCTGCAAATTAATTCTAGAAAACTGGCTTTGGTTTGGGCTAAGCAAAAATCATCACACTGTTTATCATGCTGATTTAGTTGTTTAACAGTTAAAGTCCAGGCTGCATGTTTTTTGTCCTGCATATGGCAGATGGGACAGTCTGGTTTTCAAGTGTTTATGTTGGGAATTAATATTAATCAGGACTAGCTTCTGAGTGAAGGTCTTGCCTGCTTTATGTGAGAGCAGGCTCTATGCGAGATTCCAATTGCTACACAGCATGATCTCAGGGCTCTTCCTCTGAAACAATGCTTGGTTGCAATATCATCCAGCAAGTGCAAAAATGTACTACCACAGTCAAGGATCATTTGGCATGTTCATCGACTATGTTAACCCATTGAGTGGCGCCATGCACTCTCCACCTGATGAGTAAAATTGTCTGATGTTAGACAGAGTAAACTAACAAAGTAGGGCGCATCTGGGTGCTTTGGACCATTCCATTTAATGTACACACCACCTATGGACGATGTACACCCCCTAAGAAAAAATATCAAAGTGCCGACACCAACACCCCCCAGAAATTAAGAAATTTTTGCCTTATCCCTCAGAAAAAAATGCAAAGATCAAAGGTTACGGATGCACACAACCCCTAGAAATGGCTTTTTCAACCCCCTCAGAAATTCTAGTCCATGGGAGGAGGGGGTGTATATTAAATGGATGGCCCATTG